ATACCAGATAGTAACGGAGGTGGAGCTGGATAGAAAATTCTATATTTTACCCTAATATATTTATGTTCACCTGTCCTTTTCCAGTGAGGTGAGAGACAGGAGTCGGCTTTGAGAAGCAAAAGCTGATTTAAGCCTCTGTTTTATGCTTCAGATGACCTGGAGCATGTTAGGGGGCAGCTCCCGAGCACACAGGCCCGCCACTGCGGGGAGTGGGGTAAGAGGGTATTGGGCAGATGTGGTTCCCAGTTGCTCTGGCAGAAACTAACTGGGAATTAGCTGAACGGTGCAGTGTGTTGGGGCTGAGAACTTCTCCAGGGCCCTTCTGGGTGCTGTCCCTGCCACGCTTACGGAAAACGTTCCCCTAGCTCAGGGTAGTGTTTGACCTGGAAAAGAGTTGGTTAATGTGGGATTTTTGGGAGCACTCACTGGTTTTACGTTGACCTTTCTCCACCCTGTTTACAGTAATTTCTTCTCTTTTCTCCCCATCCTATCTCCCTCTTTGCAGAGAGCCAAGATTGGAACAGGCTCCAAGGCTGCGGATGAGAAGACAACAAATGCCATTTCTAAATTCGACAACAACGGGAGCAGAGATCGGATGAAACTCTCAGATTTCAATTTCCTGATGGTGCTGGGAAAAGGCAGCTTTGGGAAGGTGCAGTACGACGCGCGCCTTTGCGTCTAACACACGTTGCTTGTGGCGTTCCTGAGCTGGGGCCGAGGGGCTGCTCCAGCGTGACGGGTCCGTGTGCCACCTGGGACCACAGTGTCCCGGCAATGGGAGCCCAGTTGTCAGCTCCCATCTGGACTGCGTGACTGCTGTGTCGCGGTGATGAAGACCTGAGATGTCCGGTCAGACCATCACAAAAATCAGATGCTTTTTTTAGGAGCCAGCATGTGTACTGGATCTTTAAAGCTCTTTTTTATTTGGCCATTTTTTTCTCTAATAATTACAAATACACGTGAACATTTTAATTAACTTTCCAGGCCGCTTATGAGTGGTAACAGAATTTCATTCTTCTAGTAATTATGTGACTCGGAGCCTTCATTTTTTTCTTGGGGTCTTGCCAACCCTGTCATGATTTCCATAAGAAATCCCAGCCCTGGGGTGGCTGCTGGGCACGGCAGC